AGTCTAGAGGTACTACAAAACGAAACGACCGAACTAGTTGGGTTCCACCTCTTGATGTTCATGAAAATGAAAAAGAATTTGTTGTGAATGCTGAATTACCGGTATGTATACAGTTATCCCTCCATATAGTCACCTCCTAGATAATCACATTATATGTAATCACATTTATGTTTAGACTAAGCTATAATTTATAAGAAATAGCCCTCCATATAAGTGATTATATGGGAGTATGACTGTACTTACTGCTTAATTATAGTTTTCTTTTATAACGTATTTAACTAATCCTTTCTGTTTAATAGGGAGTCACTAAAGAACAAATTAATCTTGATGTTCGTGAAAATGCACTTGTAATTTCTGGTGAGACCAAGAAAGATGAAAAATATAAAGAAGGAAATACGCATATTCAAGAACGTCGCTATGGAAGTTTCACTCGTTCTATTACTCTTCCTCGTAATATTAAAACTAGCGATATCACGGCTAAGTTTGAACATGGTATTCTTGAAATAAATCTTCCAAAGGACGAGAGTAAGACATCTGGAAGGAAAATTGATATTCAATAATTAGGATAAATAGTTAAATAGATATATGTGCGTAGATATATTATATATTATTGCATTTGTAAGTTGTAATTAGCATGATTATGGTTATGGTTGTGCTTATGTTTAAATGAAGATTTGTTACAGTTTAGCAAATAAACTTATCATACGAATTTATTATCGTGAATTTTTTCTACTAGTTGTATTAAAGGTTTTTTATTACAGATTCCAAGGTAATATTTAGTTCGTGTGTATATGAAATAAACAGGATATTTTTAATCTTTGTTGCATTTGCTTCTATTCCCACTTTTGTTATGTGATCGATAAATATGTGCAAATAAACTGATTGTCGTCTTCACGAAAAAAATTAATAACATCAACAAATCTAATGCAGTGCAGGACACCTTAAAATAGCATCTTTTTTTAAAAAAGTGGCCAAATTTAAGACAAAATACTAAATTTTGATTGGTTATTTTCTTAAGATTTTATTATGCTTTTAAAATTGTTTTTAAAAGATTGTTAAGAAATCAGCATTATCAAAGTTTATTAAACAAAATCTATTTATGAAATCAAAAAATTTTTCTCTTGTTTTTTTTGTATATTTTTACAAAAAAAAAATCTCTTAGTTATATATATATATATTTTTTTATAAAGAATTTTAGTTTTTACTTGCTGATTTAAGGCGTCCTGCGCTGTATTAAACATAAAATAAAACATAGAATAATATATCAAATTAAATAATAAAATATTTAACGTATTTGATAATTTTACAAACATAATGCATGTAATAGTACCAAAATAAATAAAATTTTTTATCTATCTTGTTATTATTTGTCTTATAAGCAAAAGTAATTCTTTATAGAGCTTCGGGCATTCAGAAATAGAGCTTCGTATTCGTATTCGTTATTTGAATAATAGTTATCAGACAAATAATTCGAATAATAAATCTTATTCGAATAGGCGAATTATTCGTCACATGAAACTTCAGTTATTGGCTGCTTTATACATAGTAACTACATATTATTATCTAATCTAATAATTATATATCTAAATTATTCGAAAAGTTTTACGCTCACGTGTATCCGACAAAACTATATCTTACCCAGTATCGCCGTCAAAATTTTCACTTCACGTGACAGCGTTTAAAAATCTTTAAATTCGTTTAAGTTAGGGTTAACGTTTATAATAAGGCTAGGTTTTAGTGGAATAATAATAAAATCACTCGAGGAATTTTTTGTTAGAGCACAAAAGGTGGTTTCTTATGCAAGTTTTTTGAGAAATAAGCGATTTTTGAAAAACGAACGTTTCCTGATCGTGTAACGGTACATTAAATCGCGACTCGCTATTGGATGATCATCACTGAAAGTGAAAATTTGATGGATTATCTTACCCAGGTACGCCAACAAAATTTTACAGTCACGTGATATATAAAATTCTTAAAGTTCGATTATGTTAGGGTTAGGGCCTATGCTAGTGTTAAGGTTAGAGGAGTTTTAATAGTAAAGTTGCTCAAGGAAACCTCTTTGTTAGAGCACTAAAGGTAGTTTCTTATGCTGCTTTTTGAGAAATTAATGATTTTTGACAAAACAAACGTTTATTTTGAAGTTTCCTAATCACGTAACGTTACACCAAAATTGGGATTAGTTATTGGCTTATTTTCGTAGATCATCATGTGACTGTGAACATTACATAGTAATTTTGTTGGCGCACCAGGGGTTCAAAATTATTTAGGTTAGAACAATATAGTAGAATAGAGCAATAGAAATTAGAATAGAATATAATTAATAACACTTATTATAATAGTAAAATCGTTCAAAAAACTTTTGTTAAGGCGCAGAAGATGGTTTCCTATGCAGATTTTGAATTTTTCTGATCGCGTAACGTTACATTAAATCGAGATTCATTATTGGCTTATCTTCGTCGAACATCATGTGAGCGGAAAAATTATACGTATAATGACTGGGTAGTGAAAATTGTAATAAGGTGGTGCTTCTTTCTTCGCTAGTGTCGTCGAATTCGATGGTTAGTTTTATGATACAAGTAGGGGATGAAATGGGCCGGGTCGGGCCGGGTTTGCATGGGCCCAAAACCAAGCCCAGAAAATATTTACAAGCCCAAGCCCGGCCCATTAAAAAAAGAGCCCGCAAGTACAGGCCGGGTCGGGTTTTAATTTTAAACTAAGCCCGGCCCATTGTAATGGTAAAAAACGAAGTTCCAGTTTAACTTCCCGAAATCCATTTTTCTGAAATACCATTTCACTGAAGTTATAAGTAATAAAAATATCCTGATCCGTTGGGTATTAGCGGAAACTTCGTTTCCGCTTGTACACATACGGTCAGGGTATTTTTACTAAATACCCAGTGATCTTGATATAGTGATCGGGGTATTTTACCGAAAATCCATTTTACTAGAAAGATAGAAAACTAGACTTCAGGATTTTGAACTTATAATAAATTAATTCAGCCTAAAAATTCAAAGTCTGAAATTCTGTTTTCTTTTAGTAGCGCTTATCTATGTATTAATATTATTTGTATAAAATAAACTTATCTAAATATTTATGGAGATTCTATTTCGATCCGGGTCAAAATAGAATTTCCCTAAATTTTATTGTTATATTGTTAAGATTTTTTATCTTGCCCTAAATCTCAGGACTAATAATAGATCAAATATAGGAAAATTTATATTGTTGACAGTATAATTATGTACGTATATATGATTACTTTCTATTTTTGTCTCCTTTATTAATTTTCTCACCCTTTATCATTACTTTTCTAGTTTAGCAGTTTCGCCAGTTTCGCCATTTCGTCATTTTAATTTTTTTTTGGCGAAAGTCAAAACTAGTTTTGACTTTCACCTATGGTGAAACCTCTAAGTTTCACCTAAAAACATTAGCTTAATAAAATGAAGTGGAACAAAGCCTTCTAATCAAATAATAAAGTAGAGTAGTAATAAGATATATCTTTTATTAATTTTCAACTATCACTGACAATTGAGTTTCTCCTAACTGTTAGCAAATAGCAATATTTACTAAAAGGTTACCGGGTATTATTGGACTGTATGGGCTTTTTTATTAGGCCCAAATCTGGCCTGGTATTTTAGGGGCCTGGCCCAAACCCGGTCCAAATAATGATGGTCTCAAAAATATAGACCCAAACTGAGCCCAAGCCCGGCCCAGCCTGTAAATTTTCGGGTTTAGCCCGGCCCTAGGTACAAGTGATCTCCGAAACTAAGTATCTCAATAATTTAGTTTACGGTTTTTAATAACAGAAATTGTAACGATATATTTAATAAAGTTGTCTAATAAAATTATACGTATCTAATAAAGTTATTTAATAAAATTACCTAATATAATTACAGTCGCACCCCCTAAGCGCAAGTACTATGTAAAACCTCTCTAAATGCACGATACGATTTGGCCCCAACTTATAAGACCCCAATGTATTTTATTCTCTATAAGCGCAAACCTCCTCTAAGTGCAAAGTTTTAATTTTTTTCACTGTGGTCCCGACGGGATGCGCTTAGGGAAGTGAGACTGTATCTAGTAAAATGATTTAATAAAATTTTAAAGTCTTAAAATACCACAATTCGGCAAAAAAAATAGATAAAATTATGATTCATTATTAGTACCATCTTCTAATTAAATCAAATTTTTTTAAAAAGATATGTAAATTACAGGTAAAGTTAGATTCGGGTAAGGCAATAATTGAAAGGTCCTTTAACCCAAAACCTCGCAAGGAATTTTTGTTAAGACAAAAAAAAGGCAGTTTCATAGAAAAAATCATAATCGCTTCGATTTCTCGTTATACACCTGATCCTGTGTCCTCAAGCTGTGGCAATACATCGCACTGGCAATGAATTACAAACTTTCAATAAGAAATATCCTTTGTTGAAATATATTCGAACGGTCTAAATAACTATCAAAATGTCTTTGTTACTGGTCTGAACATAACTTTGGACATTCCAAGAATTCAGTATTTGGCAATTTGATTGCATCGCTTGATGTTTCCAAAAATGAAATAAATTTATTGTTACTGATATACATACATTTTTAGAATCTTAAATATTTAATATGATTAAATAGTAAATCACCAAAGAACAAATGTTCATAAAAATGCGCTTTTTATTTCTGATGAATTAAACGAAATGAAAAATATGAAATATTTATGCTCATGAACTTCGTTATGGAAGTTTTACTCATGTTATCTCTCTTCCTTGTTACGTTAAAACTTTAGATACATTTATTGCTGCTAATTTTGAACAGAATGTTTCAAGGGATAAGAATGAGGTGTCATGAAATAATTTATTAATATCATCTATTTTAAGAAAACTGTAATTTATTAATACTGCACTATCGTTGTATTCTCTTGAATAAGGAAAATGTTGCGGCTGAAATTGGAATTTTAAATATTATCTTAGGATTTAGTGTTAGTTTCGATAATAAAAATGGATAAGTGGATTTCAGCTTCAGCTGAGACAATAAATATGTTAGACTTTTTTTTTATGAATTTGAATTGGATTTATAAGTTCCACTTAAAGTTATAAATTCAACAGTATGTATAGCTTAAATATAATGGTAATATATTATTTTCATTATCATTATATAATAATAAGAGTTTCATTACCTTTAATTACAAATATGAATAATAAACTATCGTTACAATTTACAAAAAATGATCAAATTTACCCGACTCAATGTTCCACGATACAGCTCTTCTAATTTTACGTCTTTTTTCTTTCATGTTCTTGTTTTTCAATTTTAATATTGTATATTGTGTTATGCTCAAACAAACAGCCAAAAATAAACAAATTGAAGAAATAATGTGCCCAAGAGTATAATTGGGATAATCCACTGAACGATAAATTTGAGTGGCGATTATACCGCCAATACTACCAGAGCCGACCATCAACGAGATAACAACATTACGCTTTAGGGATGGTGCAATATTGTTCGCTAACCTTTTTTTTAAAGCGATATAGCAAGTATAAAGCAGTTGCACATATAATAAAATATACGATAGAAGTGAAATATTGTGAATTAAATAAATATATACCATGTGGTAGAAGTCGCGCGGCATGGAAACGCACCTATCGCAATTAACCAAGTTCCTATGTATTTAACTTAAAAGAATCTTTTTTTTCTCAGTGAAAATTAAACAATAATTTTCAACAATTAAAAAATTAGAAAATATACTAACAAATTGCGCTATTTTGCACTGTAGCCACGATCGCGTAACCAAAAATTCCAATCGTTGCAAATAATATCACAAAAGGACCACGAAGATTCATTCGATTTGATATAAATGCCACTCCTATTTCTGAAACACATCCAAGCATGAAGGGTGGTACAACTAGCAATTGAGATAATACTATTTATATTTATATATATATATAGTATATACAAGCCTAGTTAGTTAATAATCGCAAAAATATAAATATTTAATTTATTGCGCTTGCCTTCATTGAAACCGAATCCATTAATAATTGAAGGAATGAAAAACGAAAAGGAATAAGTTGCGACTGAAACCCCGCAAAATATAAACATCGATACAAATACTTTCTAAATGAATAAATGTATGTAAGCAAAAAGAAAGAATAAAAAACAAAACCCAGATTTAATAAATAATATTACCCAATCTTTTAGACATTCTAATATAAGTGTTTTACTTATTGAATCGGATGTCTCAGAAGATTGAGAAAGAGTATACAATAATTCGTCATGTCCAACTCTTGAACTAACACGGTTTCGATCTTCTTTGTTAAGCCATTTGGCGTCTTCCACAGAATCAGAAATTAAAAAAAATGCAACAATAGATACTATAATTGTAACTAGACCACACACTAAAAATATCTAAAAGAGTATCATTATTGCTACAGGTTAAATATAATAATGATAAAGACATGAAAGTTATTATAATAATGTACTGGCATACATACCCATTGCCAACCACTCAGCCCAGCCTTACTATCTAATACACTAATAATTGCATACGATAATAATCCACTTAACGCACCAGCAAATGTAGGACCCGAAAGAACTGCGCCCATCCTAATATTTTGTTCTGATCGTTTATACCAAATTGAAATATAATATATCGTTCCAGGAATTAGGCCTGCCTCAAAAACGCCTAAGAAGAAACGAGCTATCATTATTGTAATGAAGTTTTTTACCTAAACGAATAAATTGAGTAAAATGTGAGTTTTCAATGTGAAAAAAGTGAAATAAAAGTAGGTTAGGCTAATATTCTTGCTTACAAAAATCGTAAGTATCATTATTATTCCACAGGAGAGCATAATAATAGAAACTATACAAGTAAAAAGACGAAAAGCATTTGATTATACTGTATAAAATAGTCCAAGAAATAATAAAAACGAGAATAACTTACTCCAGATTGAAAATCGGTGTTGGACTTTATATACTATCAAATTTGATGGCAATTCGAAAAGTATATGTCCACTATATTGAATAATGCAATCAATCGCTTTTTTTTTATAGGAAGCATAATTTATGCATATATCAATTTGAACTCACAAAAAAAAAATGCACAAAACCCAATTATATTGATTGTCTATTAGTCCAAGATCGCTTTCCAAACGTTCTAGCTTTGCATTTCCGATACTTAATCTTGTTTAAAATTTTATATCATATGTATTACATCTTATATATATTTTATTTCAATTTTGCATATGTAATGAGTACAAATATTTACCTATCTAGATAACTTATCATATAAAGAAAGGTTATAAGAGGAACAATTTTCCAGTCAATTTTCTTTAATAACTTTCCTTCGGTCTGACTTTCTTCTTCAGTTATATCAATCGATTGCATTGAATCCATGATTAAAAACGCGTCGTTCGGTTTAAAACAAAAGGAAAATTATATATATATATTTGGTGATATGAAATAAAAAAATTACATCCTAAGCCTTCCGAGGCTTTTTTGTTTTTGAATCTTGATCATCAAATCAAGCTGATGCTCTTGACAATGAACTTTTTCGTCAATGATTCGTTCTTGTTTAATTAACAACAAATATAACTAAATAAAGTTATGAAAGTTGTATATTACAAATAACTTGAATTCGTTACATGTTCAAGAAACTCTGATCATTTGAATTAATACATTAAACGAGTGCAAATTTCATACGTATGTACATGTTCAATTTCTTTCTCTATGTTATAGCAAACCATATCAACTTTGGTAATGTAGAAGATTACTGCGGCAGACACGGTGGATCGACATCGAGTTAGATCTACCCGATTAACAGATTCGATTCAGATCGCCAAAAATTTAAAAGATTGTCTTGTTTTCATTTGGCGATCATTATAACGATCTAAGCCATTTTATTTTCAATAACAACGTTACTTAATGAAATATCGCGGCAATATTTGTATAACTATATATACCTAGAGTCATTTTTTTAAAGCCTGCACTCCGAATGTACTTAAAGAACATGCACATATAGAGAGCTAACTTTATTACTTATCTATTACCTCCAATGTGTTTACAGTTGCAAAATGCAATCGTAAGATTAAGTGGGTAAAAATTGCACGAGTGTACATAACTATTACTTATTCTATTACCTTGCCGATCTTTCATCGTTATTCTCAAGTTCGACGCCCGGTTTGCCATCGTTTTACACTGTCTCTCATCATTATTGTTCCACTTGAGAAAAAAAATTTGAATTACAATATTTCGAGATCCAATAAACACATACCTTTGAATTTTAAATACTATAAAACATATAACTTCAATTATAATATATTTAAATTTGAATATCAGTTAATATACAAATTTGTGAAAAATTTTAGCTATTTCTAATAAAATTATGTAATTTAATATAATGCGCATTAAAAAGTCATGATTTAGTAATAAGGATAAAAAAATAAAGCTGCTACGATAAAAACAGTATAAAATACAGGTGTAGATACAATTAAATTTTTTGTTTCTTAGTAAATTGCTACGTATTAAAAAAATTTTTTAACCGCATCTATACCTGTAACTTATTCTATTTTTATAGTAGCGGCTTTATTTTTTTATCCTTATTACTAGATCATGTCTTCTTAATGCGCATTATATTAAATTACATAGTTTTATTAGAAATTGCTTTTTATATAAATTTTAATTAATTGTTTTTTACTTATAGATTCCATAAATATTGCACCATAAAAAAATCGTTTAATTTAAAAATTTTCACAAATTTATAACTGAAGTTATAGGTTTTATAATATTTAAAATTCAAAGGTTGTAATTCAAAAAAATTTTTTTCAAGTGGAACAATAATAATGAGAGACAGTGATCTCAATAAAATTAGTTCAAATTCAAGTTTCAGATCAAGTCCTGATCGGCCAGTTTTTTAATGACTATTTGAATGTTTCTTACAATTTTGGAAACATTACTGAATTACTGGTAGTTGATATCATAACAGCATTTCGACTTCCCTGATCTTCAATCTTTACCGATCTTATCCAAATTATATTAAATAATAAACCATTTGTGTTTCAAAAAGCTAACAAGATATAAGTTTTTGATATTAGAATTTTCTAATCTACCATTTTCGAATCATTAAATTTTAATATAGTCTGATGATCGAACATCTAGTATCACTTTTACAGAAATACTATACGTATAAACTTGTACGTAACCTTTTTTGAGTTTCTAACAAAGATTATAGAGCAAGTTATTCCGGTTCTAATAGTGATAGAATTATTAAAATTGGTTTAGTAGATCGCGAGTTATGACATTTTCTCCATATATGTTAAGATAGTCATATTATATTAGAATAACCGCGTTATATTGGAATATAGTTAGGGTTAGTAATGCTATAGTTTTAGTTGGTAACTCAGGGTTATAGTATGTAAATTAGGCGTTGTTATACAATAACGTTTTAAAAATTGTCATTATATAACAATTTTCGAAAAAATATTTTACAATGATTTTCAAAAATATTCTTTATATACGTATGTCAATTTGTTCTAGATGTCAATTGGATTTAGTCCAGATGTTTAGATAAATTTTAGTAAATTGACATCCGGGCTATTCTAATGGACGATTGGAACAAATTTAGATTTGGGGTACAATATTATGTCTCAGATTAATATTTGCATAAGATTATAATTAATATGAACCAGATGCTGGGAAAAGTGACCAAATTGACAAAAAATAGGGTTTGCAGAAATTTGATTTTTTTATATTATAAAATCTATATTAACTCAGGAAAATACAGATTTCTTAAGTGAAAAATGTTCCTGAGCTAATTTTAAATTAGTTTAAGCTTAAAAAATTTATTTTGAAAAAATTGTCAATTTAGTCTCTATTGGCTTAAATTATATTATAATTTTTACCTTAATTCCAATTCTATTTTAGATTCGTTGTTATTTAACACAAAAATTTATCCAAGGCATAATATAGTAAATCGATCACGATTATCGTTATTCACTGTATCGGACTTGACCCCTGGAAAATCTAGTCCAAAAATAATTATCATTATATAATCAGTATCAGCTAATAATTCTAGTCACATATTAATTCGAAGTATAGGGATGTTAAATTGCGAATCCGGTCTGGTCCTTGGACCTGAAACGACGGTCCCAGACCTGATACAAAAAACCGTTGGTTGATCGATCCCAGGAGCGGGTTCTGAGCCATGATCCTTCAAACAAGTCCATCCAATCAGATTGATACTTCTTAAAAAAAAATTTACCGAGAAAATTTTTAATATTTAATGTTAAAAATCAAAAAAATTTATATAAAAAAAGTTTTTTATAAAAAAAGTTTTTTATATAAAAATAAAAAAGAAAAAAAATTATATATTTATTTTATTTATTTAAACACTAATGTCACCTATTTCTTCATTTAACACATTACTTAGTTCTTTATACCAGCTTTTTAAATACAAAGATGCTCATACAACTTTAGAACTTAAATGATTTCAAGTAGGACTAAGCATATGCTTTGTAACTGAAAAGGCCTGCTCGCTAGGTACATTAGTTAACTGCACAAAAAAAATATTTATTGCAAGGTAGGAAAGGGTTGGATATTATGTTGAATTTAATTTTTATTACAGGAACAGAGTTGCCTTAGTCTCAGAATCAGTTAAGTAACTTGAAATTTTATACTAACTAGAGTTAACTTGATAGCAATTCAAAAGATTACAAAAGAGTTTACATGTTAATTTAGTAATAGTAGTAGTAGAAAGTGATAATGATGATGATGTTTTATTTTTTTTCTGTTGACTTATAATTTTGTATATTTTATAAAGTTTATTAATGATTTGTTTATATTTACCAATTTTATAGGTTGAAAGTTTAATAAATCAAGGTCTAAAATTGTTAAGAATTCATTTAAATAGGTTTAATTTAATGTAGTTTTTATTTTTTTTTATCATATTGACAACAGCATGTTATATATTAATTTTTGAAGTTCTATTATTATCTAAATATATAATAAAACTAAAAAAATTATGCACAAGTAATCTTAAATAAAAAGTATTAAAAAAACATTATAGTTATATAGTATATAGGCTTAGATAAATTAATAAGTTTTGTAATTTTATATAATTAAAACAAATCTATTTAAATAATTTATTTAAATAATAAAAATACTAGAGTATGGCAACTTAGTAAAGTGGATAAGTTGATAACCTTCTAAGTGATAGATTGTAAGTTTAAAACTTACTGATAGTAAAAATTTGAATAATTATCTATATAATATATAGATAATATTATAGCAATAGCATTCTATTAATTAGTTAAAATAAGATACTTATAACTATGATTGCATCAATATAATTAACAAATCATAGAGCATCTATGTAACTAGTTATACAAAGGAATATAAACTGGAAATAGACAGTGCAAATTCAAGATAAGTTCTTGTAATTATGTAAATCTGTAGAACTAAAAAGCTAAAGCCTATTTAGAAAGATCTAAGTAGAAAGGTAATACAAATCTTTAACATTACTATTATAAAGGCTAAACTTAGAAAACAGATACTAATGTAAAGAAATTAAGCAGACAAAAATCTTGAATAAGAAGTATTACCAACCAAGCTGTTAGAAGTCTTGAATTAAAGAAAAAAAATATTAAATATTATAATTTTAATATATTAGAAACAGGTTACAGTTCTTTTAAACTATTTAGATTAAAAGTTTGATGACAAAAACAAAGATATACTATAAGTACTAAAGATATATTATAAAGTTAGTACTAAGGTCTAAGTAAACTTTGTAAGAGCAAACTCTATTAATAAAGACTAAATATAGGTAGTTAATTAGCAAAGGACCTCTTAGAGTCTTATAGTCAGGTAATGTATTCTGAAATGTATAATAGCTTGATAGACATATAGACAGAAAGATTAATATTAAGTTAGATAACATTTAGATATACAGAAACTGATATATTATTTGTCAGTTATAGTATAGAAATTAGAATATTTAATCAAATAATTTTCTAGCAAATTACAGATATAGCAACTAGTATATAATTTGTAAACAGATTACTTAAATAAATAGCCAAAAACTGTATATGTAACTAGTTGCATACTTATCTTATACAAGTTATATAATTATAATTAAATCATAATAAAAGCAGTAGTCATCAATAACAACCAGCCTTAGCAAAAATATAAAAAAATACTAATAAAAATAATTTTCTATTTTTGCTCATTAAGATAATTTGATTTTTTTTTTTTAAGCAGTTATGCTAGTACTTTATTAAGATTTTTGAAACTACTATTGTAATTATATAAATATATTTAACAACTAAGCCTAGCATCATCTAGCTACCTTAATGGCATCTAAGTGTAACCTGTTGTATTACTTTTATTAGAAGTAAGCTGCT